ATTGTAGCCAAAACAATTTATACTATTACTCTTCAAGAAATTGAAGTTGTAGTAGTTTTCATCAATTTCTGATGAATTTGAACTATGCCATCTGATGAGACCCTTAAGCAAGGTCGAAACCGGTCATGGCTGCTAGTTCTCAAGATTAAGAATTTGTTTGGGCTACCAGATTTCTATCTGTGATTGTTTTATTGACGATCATTTGAATTACATCTGGTACTTGAACAACTTAAGCCATCTGATGAGATCCCTGAGCAAGATCGAAATCGCGATCATGACTGTTTGACTGATTGTCCAGACATACGCTAGTACAGCATCTACTAGTGTTATTGTGTAGAAGAAAATATGTCTGTAGATGTAATCGATGATGAATGTGTATTGTGAATTTAGGCTATATGTGATCCAATAGACAGAATTTATTCCAATGATGAAGGGGATGAGAATCACGGTTGCGATCATGATGTGCAAACACGGGTGACCTAGAGAATGGAATGAATATATCGATCAGTTGTGTAGTATTAGATCTCGAACGGCTTTGAGAGTCAGGATACCTCTCTCATCGTGGTTGAAGTAAGAGGTCTTGTGTTCAAGTAGGCAAGTTTTTCTTTTCATCATAACTAGGCGAGGTGTCTGAATGGAAATTATATTTCGATGTTGGTCACAATTCGTATTATTTTTCAGATGAGTATTACTAGGATACAACTATTTCATCAATATTTGTCTTTCGATTTGTTTCAGGTCTATTTCTTCACAGCGAAGAAGATGATATTGGCATGTTCGAACACGGCCTTTGATTGATTGAAATAAAATATAATGTATTTGTGTGTATCGAGTGATCTTTTTACTATTTGAAATAATAAAAAGAATAAAGATTCATTGATTGTATGATGAAGATTGAATGTTTTTCGTCTTTTCATTGTAGATAGTTTGTTTTGGAGAATAATGAGTATGAATCAAATTAAGACTAGTATTGCGACAACGATTACATCGAGAACGCCACGTCAAGATGCACAAGGTTGTTGGTACGAATTGCTTTCACCAACACAAGTGTTCACTGAACAATCAAATATGAATATGGGTACGAATCTACATCAGCAGCAGACGAAGAAAAAGAAGAAAAAATCACACGGTAATCGAAAAGAACAACATCAGAGAAGAAAGATGCGTCGTCAACAACAACAACAAAAGCAAATGAATAATGATTCAAATTACATGAATGATGATGATGTTATGATTATTGATGACGATGGTGATGTTAATGAGGGTAACAATGGTTTAAAATATGATCAAGTTCGAGTATGATCATCATTTATTTTGGAAACGATGACCTGTCTTCTACGCATATTTCTTTCTTCTGTCTCTAGACATATTCACTGCAACATCATCAAGAAACAAAGTTAGAGAATGAACGTAAACGGCAAGCACTGACTCCGATTGATATCAATGTCACTCGATCCTTCAGTCAATTATCAGTATCACAAGAAACAAAACAGAAGAAGAAAAAAACAACATCAAATATTCGAGAAGAGAAGACCAATGGTGAGATGAATTCATCAACGGATACAAATAACATTCAGCGATTGAAGCCGAAGTATTTACATGTCTCTGATCAACGATTCAAACAAATGTTATGCGATGCTACTCAAAATAGTGTTCTGATTATGGCGTGGTTAAATACCAATGAAAAAGTGCATTCTATTCGGCAAATGACTGAAGCTACTAATCAATTGCAATATCTCGATTTGCAACGGCAATTATGGCAAGAACACTTGAATCTTGGAATGAAAGACGGCAAATGGAATGTTCATGTGTCGAAATCTTACGCCAAACAACATAGTACATGCCGGTCATATAGTTTTCCTCGACACACTATTGAACAGCGTTTACAAACCATTCAATCTCAAATACGATGCACTATCCAACAATTACAACAACATCTGATCCAATTACAACAATATGCACAAGAATGGCAACCCACCATCGATGTTAATCTCTTATCAAATGCAGTTAATGAATGTGTAAGAAAAGGTTAACAACGATTACGACAAGCATTTGATTATCGACGACAAATATTAGTATTCAATTACAATGATCATCAGCTTCTCAACAAGTTTTATCAGTTACATTCCAATGAAGAACAGGTTTGTTTGATAGTGATAATGATTGAACATAGACATTTTTTTACTATTTTAGATACACTTAGCCAAACAAATCTGGCAAACAACGGCAAATGAATTAAAGACGAAAGAAACTGAAGAACTTCTTCGTAAACGTATCTATTTACAACGATTACCGAGTGAAATCGATACGATTATTAATAAATCGATGAAGGATCTTCAAGTTTTACTTGAAAATCCGGCTTTGAATAAAGATCGACGTGCTAGTTTAATATCCGATAGTTCCAAAACTATCACACAATATAAATTTGATCTAATGACGATCAATCTTGATACATTGCAAAATATTAGACATGGCCATCAACAAGTACTGGTCGATTTACATACGAAATTATCACGATCGATTTGGAGTGATCTATTGAAACGAGCTATTGAAAATCGTCAGCAAGCGATAGTGTTAGGTTGTCAACAAAGTTTTGGCGTTTTTTTCAAAAATTTTATTTTTGTTTTTTCACTTCAAAAGTACAACTAGTTTTCAGATGTATATTTACCATTACTATCTACCACTTGTCGCCAACGTTCTGGCAGAGATGTGATCCCGCGCTCGTAGAAGTCCTGGGATTTTTCATTAAAGAACTTGACAAGTTCCGTTTTGACATCGCTTTCGTCCTCGAACTTTTTATCACGTAAATCATTCGAAAGAGAATGAAACAAATGGTAGTCTGTTGGAGCCAAGTGAGGGGAATAAGGTGGATGAGGAACGGTAATCCAGCCGAGCTTCAATAATTTTTCACGGGTCGACTTTGCAACATGTGGTCTAGCGTTATCATGTAAAAAATAAACTCGATCCTGCTTTCCCTTGAGTTTTTCCGCAACCCGATCCAATTGTTGACAGTACAGATCAGCAGTGATGGTGTAACCATTTGGTAGAACTTCCCAGTGGATAACTCCTTTAATACCCCACCAGACACTCAGCATCAACTTCTTAGGATGGGGATCAGTCTTCGGTGTTGCTACGCCTGTTTGACCAGCGCCCAGCCACTGACGTCGACGCGTGTAGTTGATATACAACACCCACTTCTCATCACCAGTAATCAGATTGGATAACCATTGATAGTTGCGGTGAGATGTGATTAAATCCATACATGCATCAACTCTCTGTTGCAGCTGATGTGACGATAATTCATGAGGTATCCATACCCCATATTTCCAGGTCTTGCCTAATTCGTTCAGATGTTTTTCCACCGTAGTATGAGAGCACCCAAGCTGCTCTGCTAAACACCGTAAAGTCAATCGAGGATCTTCTTCGATAAGCTGCTTTAAAAAATCCATATCCACTTCCATTGGTCTACCGGATCGAGGTAAGTCGTCGAGTTCTAAATCCCCATTCTTGAAATGATTGAACCAACGTTGCGCGGTACGAGTGGAGACTAGACCCTGACCCATCGTACCGCATATGTTGCTGGCTGCTTCCGTTGCTTTGTGGCCCAAACGAAATTCATGAAGTAAAAGCACTCGAATCTCTCTATGAGAAAGATTTATTTTTGATTCGACATCAACGTCCATATCGATGATTTTTTATCATTCGAAAGACATTCATGTCCTATATATATACCCTTAGTATGGAAACTTCTAGAACTTTCTAGGTTATTCTACAAGATTTTAGAAAAAAACGACAGAACTTTGTTGACAACCCAATAAAACGTCATGAAGTGTATCTTCAATATAAATTACAGACTTTTTTCGACGAAGCTCCGATTGTAGACGAACATTGAATAAGAAGCAGTTACAATATCGTCACCATCGGAGCAAAGTCTTTATTTATAAAACGATTACTGCTTCATCACCGTTTATTCAAGTCGATTTAAATTTAACTCCACAACAAATGGCCATGTTCATTAATGGTTTCAAATATATTATTCCAGGCCAAAGTCGGTTATGTTCTCGTAAATCCATCGATGAAATGATTACTGAACAAAATCAAAATATATCTACTATTATCAAGAGTTGTCTGAAAGATCATAATATTTTCTTTGCCGATGGAAGAGGAAAATATGCATTTTCAACTTTGGAACAAACCTTACGTGATTTATATTCAAAACCATTATCAAGAAAGTTACTGCGACGTGCTCAATATGAATATAAAACTATTCGAAGTATTCAACGTCTAATGAGTAAACGACCGGATATTGTTATACGTCGGACAGATAAGAGCAAAGTATTTTACATTGGTAAATTAGATGATTTTGAACGGAAGGCACAAGAATATATGTTAAAAACACAAGCTTATGAAGAAATTACCGATGGTCGATGTCCTTTGGCAGATAATCTACGTGCTGTACAAACGTTACTTGATTATCTAGTGTCTAAAAATGGGTTGACGAAAAAACAATGCAATTATTTATTGCCCAAGCTAGGTAACTTAGAATTAGGTCATTATCATGGTCTACCGAAACCACATAAAGTAAGTCTATCATTTCTCAATGAATACATTTAGTTTCTTTTTTTTTCTTCTAGGCTGGAACACCTCTACGACCAATTATTGCATCGATCAATGCCCGGCAACCTCAGTATCGAAGTTTTTGAATGATCTGTTAGCATCGATATTCTTGAAGGTTGCTCGTGAAACAACATTCATTAATAGTATTGATGTTGTTCGAAAATTAGAAACATATGTTGCTGATGGTCGCTTAACATCAACAACTCGATTCATCACGGCTGATGTGACGGATCTGTATACGATGATACCAAGACAAGGTGCATTAGATGCATTAGCTCGATTTTGTCTTAAACATTCTAAACAAGGTAAAATTGGTACATTAGCCATTGATCATATTATGAAAATGGCTCGTCTCATTTTGGACACGAATAATTTCGTTTACAACAATAAATATTATCGACAAATTCGTGGTGGAGCAATGGGTTCGGCATTTACGCAAGTCCTCGCTAATATTTATATGTTAGAATGGGAACGTGATCTGATTCAATATCAAATGGCAAGACATGAAATCTATGGCCGGTAAGTAGTATATTTAATGCATGAATGAATTTAAGTATTGCTCTTGTCGACTAGATACATCGATGATATCTTCATGAGCACGAATGAAACCATGGATGACATTAAGACAGTGCTCGAACGAGCAGCAACTAAAGATGTCAATATTAAAATTAATTATCAGATTGATACATCAGTCGATTTCCTTGATGTTAGTATTATGAATGAAGTGGGTCGATTAAGAACAACTATTTATCATAAACCGGCAGCGGAACCTTATATCTTACCGTATAAATCTGATCATCCACGTCATAGTCATCGAAACATTCCATATGGGGCTTTACTACGAGGGTGAGGGTGTGAGGGTGAGTTCAGCTACCATGACCGGTTTCATGTCGACTAAGACAATTTTCAAATGGCTTAAATATTCTATATGATCGAAATCACAAGAATTATTCAGTTATATATCATAATAAAATGAATATATAATGAAATTTTCAGTTCACAGTAGTGAGTTCAGCTACCATGACCGGCTTCATGTCGTGGTTGATGTAATATTTAGTAGGGCGGTAATCTAGAATGATAAAACGAACGATTTTGGTTTGTTGCTGGAAATGGTTAAGGAACGAATGGAAACGGTAAAGTGTTTTTTTTGAATGGTACATGCTTATTTGAAAGGAAAAAGTGTAGTCAAGGTGGGAGATTAATCAAAAAGAGTCAGACAGCAGTTTGTCAATAATGTTAGTAGATAGATTGATGTCGTTTACTATATGACTTGAGATAATATGTTATCGATTAAATATTAGTTCTTCTCTGCGGTGTGTAGAGTCAGTCGTTGTATGGCAGTTAATGTTTTGGTTTTTTTTTGGTCGTTCTAGGTAGGAAAGTTAAGAAGTTGGATGTTTTATTAAGTGAACAGTGATGAATTAGTTTTGAAAAAACCTACTTTTTATTGGTTTGTTTTGTAATAATGATTTTTTCGGCTTTTTACGAATTAGATCGTGTGTGGCACTTCGTCGATTACGATTACCTACAATCATTTTGATAGCCATGGCCGCTGGATCTCCGAAATGGTCTTTGTAAAGTTTATGCATGTCCCGTTTAAATGATTGAAAACGTTTTTCATGTACATAATGGAAGATTAATTTGTGTTCGTAATTTTTGACTGTGTCTGTTGTTGCTATTGATGGTTTTTTGCTGATACTGGTTGCAGTGTTGCTTGGTGCCTGGTGAGGATCAAAGTTACTGGCCATGTAATTCACATGTGATTTCGATTCTTCTTTTGTTCCTCGAAGAAATAATTTCTTTTGTAGATGAAAGTACAGTTCTTCATCATCAATCAACGGTAAAAATGATGTGGTAGATCGATAGCCGGAAGAAAACTTGAGGAATTGTTCGTCAATAAATGTTAATGGATACCTAAGATGATTTTTCATTGGTTGAAATGAATCTTATCTGGAAACCTATATTTTTTGAGGATGATGACTTACCCATTAAATAATAACATTAATTCGATATAACGTTGTTCTTTTTTAAATGCTTGAAATGTCGACGAATATCGAACAGCTCTTGCAAGAGCCGTTTGTATAATATTTCCAAAGACATGTCGAGGATGATCCGATATAAATGGAACAACATAGGGTTCCCCAGCTGGTTTATGATAAACAGATGTTTCTAAAATGCCATTATTATTTGTAACAAGTACATCAAGAAATGGAAGACTTTTCCCAATTTTATAATCCAGTTTAATATTGGGATGCCAGTTATTTGCTTCATTCAAGAAGTTTATTAATTCTTGTTCTGATCTATTCCATGTGATAACAATATCATCGACATATCTATAATTTATATGGATTTTCGTGTTTTCGATTTAAATCTTTTCCAATTTAGAAAACTTACCGGCCAAAGAATTCTTTAGATTGACTTTGTTCATTAACGAATTTTTGTTGCCAATTCCACATAAAAATATTGGCTAAAGTTAATGTAAACGATGAACCCATTGCACCACCAAGCGTTTGTCGATAAATTTTATTACCATACACAAAAACATTTTCTTCTAATACAATCGAAGCTAATTGTTTTATTGTAGTAAAACGTATTTTATCGACTTTTGTATGTCCACTTTCATCAAGAAATTTGACTAAGATTTTTAATGCTTCATCCTGTGGTAACATTGTAAATAAATTACGAATATCAAATGTACAAAAAAGAGTCGATGCCTTGAGAAGACCTTTCTTAGAATATTTCGTTAGTTCTTTAATTAAAGAAGTACCATCAATGATTGTTGTCTCTTTACATTCACTATCAAATATAGGTCGTATTGATTGATCTAGAAAATCAGATATGTTCTTTGTGGCAGAATGAATTGTATTTTCAATAGGTCGTACTGGTATATTTTCCTATATAAATAAATAATAGACAATGAATAATATCAAACATGTATCTACTCTACCTTATGAGTTTTAGGATTAAAGTATAAATGTGATAATTCAGTTTTGTTTTCATCAGGTAACATTTTTTTACATTGCGTTTCTGTAATTAATTTATCTGTAGCAAGTTGACGAAGTAAATTCTTGACTTTGTCTAAAATTTCATCTAATGGATTGTTCGATAATTGAATGAAAGCGTTGGTGTCGATAAAATAATTTTGTGCTTTTTCTTCTAAATCACTTGCCAAACCAATATAAAAATTATTACCTTTATCAGTAACACGAATAATGAGTTTGTGCTTTTGAATTAATTTTCGAATGGAGGCAACAATATGTGCTTGTTCATCAGCTTCAATTTGTTCTTTGTATGGAAGAGGAATAAAATAACATTGATTAAGATAATTAAGAAGATTATCTGAATATTTTCTCAAATTCGGATGCGTTTTTGGCATATTGTGAGCAATAAGATAGTATTCAACTTTATTATAAATTTCTTTATGCAAATTCACAATTTCTTTCTCTTGTTGTTCACGAGGGCGCGTAACACTTTGATTTGATCTTATCATCGATGGACCTTAAAGAATAAAATAAATACAATGATTCTTTAAACTAAAATACTGATGAACAAACTCTATATTCTTACCATAGGAAAGATAATTCCATTGACGTTTATCAAAATGATTAGTAATTAAGTTAAGATAGGGTTCAGGGGATGCGCTAATTATATTTTGCATTGACGATGATAAGTTTTGACGATCTTGAAGTAATTTCTTACAAAAAGTTGATATTTGCTTAGATATATTATCTTTTAGTTTATTAGTTTGATCAATCATATAGTCTTTCACTTTTTTAACATTGTCAGTATTGACACTTCCACTACTATTCTTTATTTGGGATTCTAGTTGTGTGAAACAATTTTGATATTGTCGATCATATACTTGTATTTTAGTAATATATGCATTGAAATAAATATTTAACCATGTACGTTTTGCTTCTCGTATATATTTATCATGTTTATTTCTTAATTCAATAGTTTTTCGATCATTGTTCAATGGTGAATAATGAATAGGACTAATAAATTGTTGTAAATAGTCAAAATTTGGTGGTAAAAATTTGAATAAAATTCGCATTTTTAGCATAAGAAATTCTTTCCAAAGTTCTACTTGCTCTTTTCGTATGGACACTAATTGACGAACAATTTCCTTCAATAAGAACAAATCTATGTAATTTATTCAAAATATATATTGACACGTACTTGATTATTAGTTGTTGTTATATCAGTCGATGATGCTGCTTTGGATAAATCTTTTTCTTGAATATTATTTTTAAATTTAACTAATTGCTGCTTATTTCTCATTGCCAAATATTTCCGTTGACAATCAACATATTCTTTAAGACAATGATCCATTTGATCGATAGAGAATTTTGTAATCGAATATCGTTGAGATTGTTCTAATAATTTTATTTCACATTGATTCAATTGTTCTTTTATAATTTCTATATAATTTTTGAGATATTCATGACACAACTGAAAATCATCAGTCTTAGCCGTTTTATGTAATTGATCCTTATTTTTATAAAGAAACATTAAAAATGTGATAAATTTTCTTAAAAAAATAAAACTTACTGGCCATACATGTTGTTGTAAACCAATGTCTAAATACGATTGCCATAATTGTTCATCGACTTTTAGGCAATATTGTTGATCGAATAGATTGAGTCGTAAATAAATATATTTTTGTTCAGGTTTTTCTTTAAAAGTATAATTTAATGTTTTACTTAACATTTGAAAAAGTGTTGCTGATGATCGTTTTAAATATATAGGTCGTCTATAAAAGCAAAATCTATCAATTATATTATTAGTAGTATTAAAAAAACATACCGATAATTTTGTTGAATAATGGTATGCTTCATTTTCTTTAAAGGAATAGTTTTTGTTGTTCTCTTTTTATCTAACTTTTTCAATGATGGTTGTAACATAGTGATTGTACTTGCTGATTTAGGTATTGTTGAATATTGTTGTAATTCTTGTAGTGATATGTCTCTTTTACGTTTACTTTGATTAGTTGTTGTTGTTGCTGCTGCTGTCGTTGTCGCTGTTGTTGCTATAGCGGTAGTGCTGGCGGTAGTCATCGGATGTAATGGTTTATTTCTTTGAATTGTTGATACTTTCTTCAATAGGGTGTGGGTGTGGGTGTGGGTGTGGGTGGGTGTGGGTGGGTGTGGG